TAACAAATAAACTGAGAGGAAAGCAGTTTTTTATCATGAACAAAAATGTATTTATCGACTCGTTAATTATGTTCGCTCGACAGATTTGCGAGAGCCGTTCCATCTATCCAATTACTTTGAATAAAGAAAAATCACCAGAACTTAACAAAATGATGACCATTTCGCAATGTTTATACTTGACAAAGTTGCTATCATACATTCTATTAAAAAAAGGCGATTGCTCTAAAGTAAAAAAAAAATATGGAATTCCAAGAGACCTTTTCAAACAACGTTATTTAACTCAACAATCCATTACGATTATTCCCAACCGTCACCCTGTTCTGTTCCCACGTGAGAATAAAAAGTTTCATCCGTCCCATTTTTTAGTCCCACTGTCACCAATAAGGTGACAGATAAAACCGATATGAAATAAAATAAGTTCCAACCGTCCAATCGCCGCAAAAGGTGGGACGGATGAAACTTTTTATTCTCTGCTGTCTCCACGTGGGGACAGAGCGGCGTGACGGTTGGGAATAATCTATTACGAGAATATCTGGATTTGCAATAACTGTGATAAATTTGCATAAAGACCTAATTTCACTGGGACACTGGAATTACTCCTACGTATGTTGCTTTAATCGTAGTTTACGTTTCCTATCTTGACTAGCTCCTGTCCTTCCACATTCAGACTACGATGAAACACAAACTGTGTCACAAGGAATCCAAATTTGGAACGTTGTTTGTATATCGAACTGCCTTGTGCTGGACTAATGGAGTTTTAGATATACACCTGGTCTCACCGGGAGTACTATTTCATTTAGCCACGTAATATCCTTTGTCGCTTGCCTCACTAATTGCTTATTCATATTCATCGTTTTCCGTTGCTTGCAGCGTTTTTAATTACGGCACATTGATGGCTTTTTATAAAATTCTACGTTCAATAAATTTATAGTCGTGAAAGGGGATTTTTTTTTTATATTATAAGGTGGCAAACGAGCAAGCAGCCACTTGAAACCGCCGAAATGGCGTAGCGACCGCTGCCCATAGACATCCGCAATTGCAGATGCGTTGCCTACCCTTAATCAACGGTGGAAGTAGACGCAAATAAAGAGGATATTTCCTCTTCCTATGCGTCTCCTTCACCGTCAAATCCACTTTTCCTTCCCATCCGTCCCTCTTAAGAAAAGGGTGGAAAGGAAAGGGACCAAAATTAGGCCTCCGGCATCACACGCATCAGACGAAACACGGAATTGCTCCCACTTCACGTTTGTGTTTTCTGTGTGGTCGTGGTATATCACCGGGCGAGCCGGCCCATTCATGCGAAGATGTTAAAGCGGGCTCTACCACTGTTATTATACTATTTTCTTTACATGCAATAAAACTCACTTTTTTTTTAATTCTACGCGTAAGTCTCGGGCAAAATCTAGTTTAAAATAAAAGCCACTTAGCGCTATTGTATACAAATGTCTTATTATACATACATACATAAAACATATATTCACGATAAACACTTCTTGTTAAATAATATATTCCGATGTCTTTGAATCTGCATACGAGAATTGATAGAGCGTACATTGCTATTTCCTGTACAATTTAACATAATAACGACCTTGCGGTGATAAAGTTAGAGTTCAAATTGGGCTTGAAGCAGCACGTAGCGCGTGGTACGGTTATTATGTAAATCAGGTGGTTCGGAAGTGTCGCAACGTTACCTAGTTGCGATTACTTCGAAGACGAGTTACGTTAAATGAAATATATGCATTAACATTACTAATAATGTTATAAGCACACTGTTATAATAGGTTAAATAACAACGTTAAAATCTTTTTTTTTTTTGGGAAAATACATCACAATTTCATTACATTATTTTGTTTCTTCGCACCAAAGCCTTACACCACATAGTCTCCCAATTAAAACCTCGGTCCTTTTCGAAGCTGGCGTAAGTGTTGCAGTCAAAAATGTAGCACCATTTTAAAATACAATCAAGTATTGGGTGTATATTTACTAGAGCATATAAGTATTACAAAAAGAATAACAAAACAATCTAACATTGTGGTTTGTAAGTTAATCAAGTTCTTTGATAAATAATACATTACAGTAATATTAGTACTGGCAAATCCCTTTATAAGTAGCTCAAAAGGAATTAGTTAAGGCGAGGTCTATTTTACCATAATGATAGATTATATTCCGCATTCGCTTTGAACTCCACGGGCGGCCCCGCCCGCAAAAAATGCTAGACTGATAGTGAAAACGAAAGGAGCCGATAGGCAAATACCCGCCCCGAATCATGACCTAATATCGGGCAATTTATCACCGACAGACCTTTGTGCCCACGCCATCAATCTTAAGGTTCCTCCTCACTCAACACTCCAACTAATTATTGCCGATCGCGCCTTGACAGTTTGCTTGAGGATTTCAACACTTTTTTCTACCCCGACCCTTCTTGCGGCGGCCTAATAATATGAGAACGTCGAACTTGTTTATTATCCTATATAACAACGGACTCTGAATTATCTATCTATACTAATCATATATCTATGCTAATATTTTAAATATTTGAATTTTTGTATATATTTAAATAAAAAAAAACATCTGGGCCGATTTTAAATTCCGTCACCATTAAAAATTCATGTGGACGAAGTCGCGTGCAATAGCTACATCTTATATTTTGGGCATCATTTATCGTTAACTGCTTATGGTTTTTTTAAAACTTAGATGAATATATTTTTCTTTATTTATATTGTACTCATATTAACTTTTGTTCTTCGCAACGTCGGACATACTTGAAATGAAGTGGTCAGTGGCTCCCATAACTTTTCTCGTAAGCGCCTTCTTAAAACCGCCAGTTCTCTTGTTCTTTTATTTTTTCCAACGAACAGCTAAATACTCAGACGTGGTAAGAGGCTTTTTGTTTATTTTCGCAAAAACCCTTTCTTTGTACGCTGAATGTTCAATGATGTGCTTAATATTTTATTCATATCACATTAGCTATCGATTTTATCTGAATTTTGCATTGAAGAAGAGAGTTTTCGCGAAATAGACGAAAATACTGATCAAATACGATTCTACAAAGTATAAAACGCAAATAATATGCTGAGATATAAAGATGGGTAGAAGACATATATAAATATACTAGCTGTTGCTTGCGACTTCGTCCGCGTGAAATTAAAATATAGCCTATGTTACTCACAGATAAATTACCTTTCTAACAATGCAATAATTTTTAAAATCGGCCAATTAGTTCTTTTAGTAATTTCAATACATACAAAAATACGAAAATACAAATCTTTCCTCTTTATACTATTAGTATAGATAATAAATTTCTACTTATTTTACAAGAAATATTTTCACGTGATTATAAAGTTATGTTTAAGTACAAGCGGCACAGAATGCTTTGACGTGATTAAAATGATATAGAAAAGGCGCCATATTTTAATATGCTTTAATTAAAATAATTACTTAACGACACGTTGCGTTATGCAAATAAAATCACCGTAATGAGTGAGTCCTTAATATGATAAAATAGCATTGTAGCTTGTATATATGAGTGAATAAGTTTCACAGCCATAAGAGCCGCGCTAATGTTATTAAGTATAATATTTTTCAGTGGGGTCTCGGCTACCGGCGCGTGCACGAATGCCTCTGAAGATGGGGCCATTTAGTTTATTACATTTACATCAAACGCCCGTTAAACCGGCCGGCTGAACAAAATGTTGCATGACATTTCGCATGTACCTAAATTACACACTTCATCATGTTTAATGCCACATTCTCTTAATGATTTAAACACCGTATTTCAGCTAACAGGTGATTTATGTCAAATTGTTCACGTTTTAGAAATCGGTTTTAATATTGCATCATATATTAACAAGTGTATAGAATGGATAAAGTTAAGAATGTGTACATTAGAGTAAGTTTGAAATTAGCACCAGTGGTGAAGAAATTGAGAAGCAAAAGGTTAGTGTGGTATGGACATGTTATGCGATGAAATTATGGGGACATAAACCAGAAAGTGTTAAGATTGAATGTGGATGGCTACAAAGGAAGAGGAAGACCGAAGAAAGTATGGATGGATTGTGTGAAAGAGGATATGCTTAAGAAAGGAGTGGTTTCAGATATGACGGATGATAGAGATGTATGGAAGAGCAGCACATACTGTGCCGACCCTCCATAAGGGATAAGGGCAAGTGGATGATGATATTAACAAGTGTATATTCATTAAATAGCTATTGTACGCGATTTTTCTGCGCGGAATTAATCGTAGGTGCCTCATTTGATCTTTTAGACTACGTTCTACATCTATGGCAAATTTCATCAAGATGTGTTTTGGAGATGCATAGAAACAAAAATATAAAATGAGAAAAATGTGCAAAACAATATTCACGTATAGTTACAATTTTTCCAAGTGAGATAAACAAAGTATTTAGACCAAACAACTGATGAATTTTAAAAAACAAAATGTTTCAAGTTCCAGTTAAACTCTTCAAATTGTATTCAAATACTATTTTGAGTTTGAACATAAACACAAGTCGAACGTAAACACGGCTGTTTGAGTGCTCTCTAATGCAAAGTCAATTCCAAAGAAATAGAATTGTTCAAACACAGTATAAAAATGCATTTGAGCATGTATCAATAGACGTAGAAAATATTTTTTACATTGCGTTTTTGTTAATTTATTTTAAATTGTAGGTTATAGATTTATTTTTACAATAATAATAGACAATTATCTTTTAATTAGATTTAGTATAAAATAAATCCAACAAAGCTACAAGCTTAACTACATGTTCACAAAGGATCAAAGAAATAATAGCTAGGGAACAACCGTTGCCTTCGAACATGGTGTCAGAGTCAGCACTTACTAAAGCAAATAAAAATTGAAAAATCTGCAGACCTCAAATCCCCGGAGGGCGCGCGCTCGCACGTTCCATACGACACACATGCCGCGTAAACAATGGACATTATTTCAATATAATATATAAATATTAAAGTAATATAATAAATATCGAAATAAAAAACATATCTGAGACTTTGCTTTTTTATTATGTCAGGCGTTTTATCTTTCGTATAATGACTCGCTCACGTACATATTTTACAAATATTGCGAATCTTTGAATAAAGTAATGTTATCACTAATAGATATTTTCACCTTGACAAATATAATTCTTGTATAATTAATATTTTAGTATCCACAAATTGATAAAACTCGCATGAGGTTATCAAGTATTTCGTAATCACAGTAACATTTCACCGTTGTCAATAACAAAGGTAGAACCAGTTATACTCGACGCACGATCACTGGCTAAATAAAGTATAAGGTCAGCGACCTCTTCACTTTTCGCCATTTTACGAAGTGGAAAACTCTGTTCGCGAACTTTGAATAATTCTTCCTTTTCGTCTTTACTTATACCACAAGCTTCCACAAAGTTAGTCTTCGTACCGCCAGGATTGACAGAGTTCACACGAACACCATCTTTTCCCAGTTCTAAAGCGAGACATCTTGTGAATTGATCGAGGGCTGCCTTCGACATGCAGTACGGCAAGAAATCCACGTCTTTAATTGGTTTAAATGCTGCTATACTAGAGACATTGACGATATTTCCTTTAGATTGCACAAGATATGGCGTAGCAAGGCTAGTCAATAAATATGCAGGACGTACGTTTGTATTTATGGCGCGGTCAAATGGTTCAATTCCTTCTCGTATACTTCCACAAATTCCAACACCTGCGTTGTTAACTAAAACATCTATACGTCCAAATTTTTCTATAGTCGTTGAAATTACTCTCTTTACATCTTCGTCATTGGTTAACTCAGCTTTGACGATTAACGGTTGTATCCCTTTAACCTCTTCACATTTGCTTGCATTGGTATTTAAGGCTTCTTCATTTCTTCCAACGAGAACAACTTTTGCGGAATGTTTCGCGAACGCGATAGCTGTTTCTGCTCCAATGCCGGCGCTCGCACCGGTTATAATAACAACTTTGTTGTCGAAGTCCATCGCTCTTGAAGTCTCAATGTGAACTGGCATAAAACAGGTCCGCTATACCGAGTTCAATGTCATGTTTATGCTAAAGAACATTATCGTGCAAACCACGTTTAAATCCACATAGCATATCATAACATTATAATATCTTGTAAATAAAAAGTATTGATTTGATTAATTAATTTTATTCACAGTACAAAAGATTCTTAATTCAAAATTTATGCAAATGTTTTTTTTAGCATTTAATAAAGCAATGTTATATAAAATTTTTGTGAGAATATTGGTGTTGATTATTGTTTGTGTATTATACGACACGGAGTCTCGTCTATTTCAATATTCTCGGCGATGTTGTACAATTCTCATTTGATTACATAGTACATTGTAGTTTCTTTCGCACTCTCATATATTCGCTGCGTACAAAATAAAGACTAATGGTCGGGAGAACAAGAACTATATTACGAAAGCTTATGGACTTACGTATTGACCTGTTTATGGAGACTGTTATTTTCTTTTTCTTCGCACACATATGTTCCCGTTCATGAACTTCTATTTAGATCGACGTGTAGGATTATTCTTTAATTTAGAAGTCAGGGTATTACGTATACCTTTGTGGTAGTGGCTATATTACTTGAATTTTATTACTTTCTATAAATTACAACCTTTTTAATAGATATTTTTTTACATATATTCGAATAATTAAGTCATGTACTCACATTTTATTATCAGTTACAAAACAGTAACAGTTCTATTCAGTTTACTTGACTTCCTTACACCATGTCTTGTATTGCAATTATGACACACGTCACCCCATTTGTAAAGGCATATCATCAAGTTTCACTTCAGTTGTCTAATCCCTTGAGTCAGACAGGGTCTGAGGCCGTCTATACAAGCACACAATACGATTTGTACACTGTACTTGCCTGTCTACTGTAAGTACTGGATATACCGAAATCAAATATTGTTTTACAAATATTGCGTCCCAAAAGTGAAACAACATAAAAGAAATAAAATCAAAAATTAGTTTGGGTACGAATTCAAAATCTCGCTTTAAACTATTTTTATATCAAGTTTGTATAGAAACATCGTGTGAAATTGCTTTGATATTTTTATAGTTCATGACAATCTTCATTATCCTTTTTAATGCTTCTGGAATCTCTTTTTCTTCAAGAAAATATCGTAACGAGTTAATAGTTTTCTTTTAAAGATAAATTATCTCGTTTTCTAGACTATTTTTTTCTTTCAGTTGAGTAACTGTATAACTCTTACACAACGGGTGTCCAAAAGTTAAGTATCTGCGCGGTAGGTGGTACCAACGATGTTTTAACGCACCATGAATTTAAAGATGTTTTGTCATCAATCATAGAGAATCACGCTTATATTACGTTTTATTATGAAAATAAAAGTTTCCGATTTCAGAAACCAGGAGACGGTATTATTTCTTAAATGCTGATGAATTCTGTATTTTTTCTGCACGACCTTGTCAAAACGTGACCCTATTAGTTAAATTGCTACGATTCTCCTTACGCAGGATATTTCCTACGTTGTTACATAGATTGGATTCAGTATGTTTGAATAAGCGCCTTAAAAAAAAGAATTTTATTTTGTTATTGAATTTATTAGGAAATATGTAGAATCTGGTTTGATTCTTCGCAGTATTTCATTCTAATGTGTCGAATGAGCCATTTTTTGTAGAAAAAGATTCTAGAGCCTTAGAATCTATAGACGAAGAATCCGAGTTCAGTAAAAACTCAGCACTCATTTTTTTTTATAACAAGGTGGCAAACGAGTAAACGGCCACCGGAATCCGCCAAAATGGCGAAGCGACCGCTGCCATGCGTTGCCTACCCTTATCAGAAGAAAAGGGTGGTAAAGAGAAAGGGACTTAAATTAGGGCCTCCGGCACCACACTCGTCAGACGAAACACGGCATTGGTTCCATTTCACGCCTGTCTTCTGTGTGGTCGTGGTATTACACCAGGCGTGCAGGCCCTGCAGTGCTAAGATGTTAAAGCGGGCACTACCACTGTTAAATATAATAATCAGTAAATTAAAGAATCAAGAGTTCACTCTATTGTTAATCATAGATTGAGCAATATGGTACCATCGCGCATCGGTCGACGGATAACATGTGGCATTTCTTTTAGAGATGGTATCTTATTATTTTATTAAAATAATATTTATCCAGGGTTTTTAAGCTAAAACATTGGGATAGAATAAACCAAATAATGGTCTTATTGCCGGTTGTATCTCCGGGGAAAATATCAAGATATGTTCGTTTCCGTCAGCACCGTATGTTAGCGGTTTGCGGGAAATTTTGTTGGAAATCTCTCGACGCTTACTCAACATCGAATAAACTTTTATTTCAATGTGAAGTGTGTTATCATGTAAACCATCCGATCTACTTACTTGATAAAAGAACTTCGCCGCATCTTTCCGTCCAAAGATGGAGCTTTCTAAGAGCTTTTTAACAAAACCAATTGGTATAAAAGTCAACAAAAACTGTATCGGCTTTAGATTTGTGGATATTTCTAAGAGTTCTTGAATAAAATTTATTGTAAAAACTAAGGTCTGTTAAATCCTCTTTGTTTTGAAGAAACAACTATGTAATGATTATTAAAAAAACATTCTATGGGACAAAATTCAAGACATTAAAAATAATTTCTGTTTGATGATATATTTGCTTATAGGCAATTTGTATGCCATTAGCCATATAGTCGAAGAGACGAATATCATTGTGTTCTTCGAAATACCGCAATACGTTTAATGCTTTTATCTTTATATTGTTAAAGCCTTAATAAATTAAATTGTTTTATCTGAGCTTGAAATTGCCATTTTTTCTTGATATAAGAAAAGCAAGGGCAGCAAACTCTGACACGCCATCCATCAGACCCTCAAGGCCTATGACAAGAAGGCTTACTGCTCTCATGAATATTTATCGCTCTGTTTATTCCCCAAACCGAGTTTCTTCTGGAAAAAAAAATATTGTGACTGTTTTACAAGATTCTCTTCTACTTATGTATGCTCGACGCGTATTCCAATATCAAAAATTAATTTCATAAAATGGTTCTATCCTTTCAAATAACATAGACATAGCCTCTTACGTAGTGATGTGCATAAATTATGGTCGATGTGTTAATTCAATTAATATGCATTTAAATTTAAAAGTAAAAAAAGACAGACATATTAACGCCTCCTTTTTGTCGGTTGTCAATAATAGCAAACTATCAAAATTGGGCGATTATCCACAAAATTCTAAGATCAATTATACAATGTTATGATGCGGGAAGAGTCGCATGTAACAAGAAGGACGTTAGATATGAATGTGGAGGTACACCGTTAGAGGTAGACCTAGAAAAGATGGATGGATTGCGTGAAAGGTGACATGATCAAAAAGGCAGTGATGACTGAGATGACGTTTGATAGAGTTATTTCGAGGACGAAGACCCGGTACGCCGACCCTACGGGAGTAGGATAAGGTAAGGGAGATGATGATGATGACCTCTTTCAAAACGCACGTTGTCAGCTTTCGTTTTTAGAATCCAAGGTCTACAAGCCGAAAGTAAAGCACGGCCATGTTACTGTCAAAATTAAAACTTCTCGAAGTACTCGGAGAACTCGTAAAAGAATGAGCGGGCTACCCCAATATCTACTTTGTTTCGACAGACTTCTTTTGATCAATCATGACAAATTGTATTTTGTTCGAGGAGTAACCGTCACATTGTTTGACAGTTGTTTACTGGAAGTTACGCTCTGTGGCGTAAATAATGAAGTTTGTGTACGTCAATATTAACACTAGCTGTTGCTTGCATCTTCGTTCACACGGAAGTGAATATTGCAATAAATATAGCACATGTTATTTAGTAACATTGCAGCTATTTATTGGTTAAAGAAACAAAATACAAATCTTTCTTCTTTACAATATTCGCATTATTATATAGCGCTAAAATGCTTTCTTTTGCATGCTAATAATTATTTTTAGTCTGGAAAAGAAAGCTATTTGATCACAAATGCAATACATTCGTTCCATACAATGTATCATTTGTAACATTGAGCAGGTGCGTTTATCAGACGTAGTCCGTTCAACAAACATAACGGTTGCCATTATTATAGTTGTGCAAAGTTTGCTCTCCGGAGTGTCGGCGCATCCTGACATATTACCGATGTGGGACACGAAAGAAAGCAGTTATTCATTGATTCTGCGACACATCTGGCGACAAAATGCCCCCGGCTTTCCATTCTGATGACCTGACTTGACATTTTTATTGCTTTCCATATTTTCTTAGCGGCCTCCGAGGCATTCGCCGTTTATGGAGGCCGACGTGAATTATTGTGCAAGTTGAAAAAGGACAGGACATAATAACATCACGATATCGTCGGTACAATTCGAGGAATGTCTGAAGTTATTCCATTATAGACAGCGCTTTGCTGAACTCGCTGCAAGTTCAAAATCTTTGGAGTAAATTTATTATTAGATTTATCTCTACGAACTCCAAGAGAAATTAATTTAAAAATCATTATACATAATCAAGCGATTGTGAAATTCGTCAAATTGTAAAATGTCGGATTGAACATGTTTTAAATTCAATAAATAAAAATAAAAAAGCCTTTTATTTCCAGCAACTTAGTGATTCCAATTTATATTAAAATTTTTCTTTTAGTGTACTACTTAATTAACATTTAAATATATTGAAATTTAAAAAAAAAAACAATTAATTACGTTAATTGATTTATTAACAGCGAGTTGTAGCTTTGAATTCAGACTTATTTGACTAATCGGTTGTTTGATTACTTTTCGTTCAAAATACGGAAATGTGAGACTTCCTATTGTCGGTACTAGGTCTCACAATAGTTTGAGGTGCGTTGTGTTGCGAACAATAAGTTCGGAGCAGTTTTCATGTCGGAAGTGGCATTACACTGAAAATTAGCCCTCGCGATAACGCGCCAACACAAATTAGCACGCGCACGCGAGCCCCGACATCGCTTAGAGAAAACGTTATGACTTTATGAACCAATTCCAAAGTTAATTGTTTCTAGCCACCCTATATTTGTACTATAGT